CACGAACCCGTGTACCCTGCATCGGCAGGCGGACTCCCAACCACTGCGCCACCAGGGAAGCCCTAAACATAAATTTAAAAAAATTAATTAATTTATTTGGCTGCGTTGGGTCTTCATTGCTGCATGCGGGCTTTCTCTAGTTGCAGCGAGCGGGAGCTACTCTTTGTTGCAGTGCGCAGGCTTCTCATTGTGGTGGCTTCTCTTGTTGTGGAGCCCAGGCTCTAGGTGTGCGGGCTTCAGTAGTTGTGGCACATGGGATCAGTAGTTGTGGTGCACAGGCTTAGTTGTTCCACGGCATGTGGGATCTTCCTGGACCAGGGCTCCAACCGGTGCCCCCTGCATTGGCAGGGGGTTTTTTAACCACTGTGCTAACAGGAAAGTCCCAACATAAATTCTTTAAAAAATAATTTCTTTTAGTTCTCTAAAGCTATATGTAATAGCTGCTTTGAAGTCTTTCTGAGCTGAGCATCTGGGCCCTCTCAGAGATGGTTTCTTTTTTTTTTCTTTTTTTTTTTTTTTGTCCACACCTCATGGCATGTGGGATCTTAGTTCCCCGACCAGGGATGGGACCTGTGCCCCCTGCATTGGAAGTGCAGAGTCTTAACCACTGGACCGCCAGGGAAGTACCTCAGAGATGGTTTCTATTGATTCCTTTTTTTTTCCTGTGTATGTGTTATACATTCTTGTTTTCTTTGTATGTCTCATAATTTTTTAGTTTGGACATTTTGAAAACTGGACTTTTTATTTTTGCAGTGCTTAGTATTTATTAGGTGCCTTGAGTTTTGGTATGTATTGACAAAGCATATTGTCTATTCCTCACAATAACTTTGATATTAGAATTCTTTTTTTAAAAAATTTTATTGAAGTATAGTTGATCTACATTGTTGTGTTAATTTCTGCTGTACAGCAAAGTGACTCAGTTATACATATATCCTTTTTTTTAAATATTTATTTATTTATTTATTCTAGGCTGCATTGGGTCTTTGTTGCTGTCCACGGGCTTTCTCTGGTTGTGGTGAGTGGGGGCTATTCTTCGTTGAGGTGCGCGGGCTTCTCATTGTGGTGGCTTCTCTTGTTGCGGAGCATGGGCTCTAGGCATGGGGGCTTCAGTAGTTGTGGCACAGGGACTTAGTTGCTTCACGGCATGTGGGATCTTCCCAGACCAGGGATCGAACCCTTGCCCCCTGCAGTGGGAGTGTGGCGTCCTAACCACTGGACTGCCAGGAAATTCCCCTCTTGTTTTTATTTTTAAGCCTGGCTTCATAGGGTTCACCCCTGGGTCAGCATAGCTTGGTGATCAGCCAGTGATTAATCAGAGGTTGTGCCTAAACCTTGAGCCAGTAAGGAGTCCATCTTTTGCTGATAGATCTGTATATGGTTTGGGGAATGTTTCCAAAGTCCAAGCAGTTTACAAGTCAGCCTGGCTTTTTTTTTTTTTTTCCCCTGTGTTTTCAAGGCCTTATGTCTAGCCAAGAACGTCTAGCCAACTTGGGACCTCTTCCATCTTTCCTGAGTATGAGTGACTTTGTACATGTACACAGCTTTTTATATCACAAGGGATAAGTGGAATCTTAGCAAGGCCCACTTTGGCTGTCTCATTTCTTGTATTTTTCTGTTAATTTTCTAGGTGGTTTTTAGTTTTGTTGTTTTGCCCCAACAAGTATCATGATTTCAGGCTAGCTCTGATGTTGGCTTTCCTAAATTGTTGCCACTGAGGATTAGAATTGTTTCTGAAAATGTGCCTGGGCATGGACTTTTAAGTCCCTCCAGCAGGGCAGTGGAGCTGTCCACCTGGGTAGAACTTATGCATCATGACACTGTGGGTAAGGATCCTTGTAGTCCCAGGCTACTCTGCCACGGGCTCTCCCTGTTCTAACTGAGAATCAGTAGATTTTTCTTGAATAAATGCTTCTCATTTTGTTGTATGCCTTCCAGAGTCTTTAAATGGTTTTTTTTGGCCGCACCACGTAGCATGTGTGATCTTAAGTTCCTCAACCAGGGATCAAACCCGTGCCCCCTGCAGTGGAAGCTCAGAGACCTAGCCACTGGACCGCCAAGGAATTCCCTAAATGGTTGTTTTTGACAACTTTGTCTAGCTTTGTCATTGCTTCTTGGGGAGGATTTACCAAGCTCCTCACATAGCCATTTCTGAAGACCTGCTGATTGGTCAGTTGATTTTTGACAAAGGTGCAAAGGCAATCTAATGGAGAACAGATAGTATTTTTATTAAATGGTGCTGGCACAGTTGGACAGTCATACGTAAGAAAGTGAACCTCAACTCATACTTGGTACCATATGTAAAAACATACTGAAAGCAGATGATAAACAAATGTAAAACTTAACCTTCTAAAACTTCTAGAAGAAAACATTGGAGAGAATCTTTGCAAATCATAAATATGACTAAGAACTTGTAGCCAGAATATATGAGACTCTCACAATTCAGTAGTAAGAAAACAACCCAATTAAAAACGGGCAATGACTTCATTAGACACTTTCTCAAAGAGGACATGTGGATGATAATGAGCACATGAAAAAAGTGTTCAACATCATTAGCCATTAGGGAAATGCAAAGTAAAACCACAATTAGGTGTCACTACACACCGGTTAGTATGGCAAAACAAAAACAAAAACATAACCCAGAGAAATGATAATACCAAATATTGACAAGGATATGGAGCGACTAGAACTCTCATACACTGCTGGTAGAAACATAAAATGGTACAGTCACTTTGGAAAACAGTTCGGCAGTTTCTTATAAAGTTAAACAACATATACTTACCTGTGTCCCAGAAATCTCACTTCTGCATATTTACCCTGGAGAGATAAATAACTTGTACATGAATGTTTACAGTGGTTTTATTCTCCAGTACCTGTACAGTGTTAGCATATAGTTGGTTCTCCATAAATATTTGTTGAGTAAATGAATGACTTACTGTGATTATTAGTGAGGTTCAACTCCACCCCTCCTCATATTTTATTGGCCATTAATCTCCATGACAGGCAAATGATACCGAAATGTTTAGCCTTTTCAAAAAATGATATCGCAATGATTGATGTGACAGTGTATCCCAATGATACAATCAATTCTTTTATAAAGAAAGAAACTTCTTTAAGGTAGAATCTACAAACTTGAATATATAAAGAGAGTAACACTATATGTGGCACAGACCTCTAGTACTGAATTATATTGAGACTTAAGTTAATTTAAAAAAATCTTAAATGAAGATGTATTTTACTCCCTCACTTTGTTTAATATGCCACTTATTTTCTTAGAAAGTATCATCAGAATTACAGTGTCTTCTCTGATACAGAAGTTTCTGGACCCACTTAAATATCTATGGCAGAGATTGTAAATTGGCAGCCATTGAGTGAATTTGACCACAGATGTGTTTTGTTTGGCTTGCAGAGTATTGGTCAAATGTAAGGTATGGACCAGCATTTCACTCACTGCAAAAACTGGCTGGAATTGAGTAGTATTTCACCTTATGGACAGGGAATGTGGTCTCCAGTTTGCCATAGCTCCTACCACTCCATATTGTTTACCCAACAGTAAGGCCAAATGTGGGTTACCATATCATTGTGCTTGTGCTTTTGTTTTTCTTATACCTGGCCCCCTCATTCACTTATGATGCTTCTCAGGCTGTAGTATTTCATGATGATAGACTAACTTTAAAGATATAAAAATGTTAAAAATATCTGCTAACGTGGTTAACATGGGTATTTTCTTAATGTAGTGTCTTCATTGGCTCCTCTGGCGTGGAGCTGATCTCTCACAAGCAACCATGAGAGGTTGGACAGCAGCTCACATAGCTGCCATCAGGGGACAGGATGCTTGCATGCAGGTAATAATAACTTTGGTTACTTTTTTAAAAAATTCAATAAGTTTAATTACTTTAGCATAGTTCTGTTGGGCTATTGCCTTTATTCTAATAATTTGATCCCATAGACTTAGTAGTTCTATGTTCTAAACAAAAACTTACTGGATTCCAGGACTCAGATATTTTGGTACCAACTGTCACTCAGACAGATTGTATAAGATCGGAAATTATATTATCTCTAAAGCAGTTGGCTGTCTGTTTGGGTTGTTTTAAGGGATGTCATAGTCATGCCCAGATTATCTTCTTTATAGCTTGCCATGCCTAAAATTCCTCATTTAATGTATTTCCTGGCCAGAGTATACATTAATATGTGGCAGGATCTAGTTTATTAGAGTAAGTAGACTTAATCAATGTCATGAAATGGACTGGAGCTTTGAGGAATACAAAATCATATAAGCAAACAGTCCCTGCCTATAAGAAGCCTGAGATTCTATTGGGAATGACAGTAGCTTTACTCAGTGAGTTACAAAACAGTACAAATCACAGTCTCTGAGTAAGGTTCTCAGGAAAAGTATAGATGAGAAGAACTGTAGAACTTAAGAGAAGATAAGGGAATCATAAATGGAGGAAATGAAACTTCAGCTAATCCTAAGAGAATGGGTTGATTTAAAAAAGATAAGTAGTGAAGAGGCATTGTAGGTAGGTGTCAGGAGCAAATAAAAATAATGATTTTAATTTATTGAACACTTTTTATGTGTCAATCACCATCTCCCATGCATCACTTCATTTAATACAATAATCTTATGAGTTTCCCTTCATGTAGATAAGGAAACAGATTCAGAGAGTTAAGTTCATTGCTTAAGTTAGTGACAAAGCCAGGGTTTGAACCTAGACTTTGTCCCATTAACCTCTATGCTATAATTCTATGTGAAATCTTTGAATTGGGAAAATGAGGTATGTTCAAGGAATATACCATTATATGAGTTTGACTGAGTGTAGATGATTTGTTCTGAACTAAGTTTAGATAAAGGCAGACTTGTAAAATGTCTTAGGAATAGAATAAAGATTCATTTGTATAGGAAAGAGAATTTTATATGTATACTATACACATGTATATGTGTATATATATATATATATATATGTATACACACACACATACATACATACACACACATGCACATAGACATTAACAGGGGAATGTAGTAATGAAAACAATATTTCAGGAAATTATTCTAGCAAGATGTATCCAGGATTATGTAGGATGAAGAGAGTGTTTGGAAGCAAGATAATCAGAGACTTTTGATATTATCACTAACCATAGAGGGTGAGATTAGTTGGTGGCAGTGGGAAACAAAGAAAATTATTTAAAACATCTTGCATAGCAGGCATTGGCAAAGTGTAGTGAGACTGTAAGGTTTTGAGTCAGAACGACAGATAATTATGGCACTATAGATAGGGACATCTGAAAGGCAGGGGAGGTTCGGGAGGAAGGATGTTGAGTTCACCTTTGGCCCATGTTGAGTTTAAGGTGCCTATAGGTCATTCGGGTGCAGAAGGACAGGGCAGTTGAAAAGGACACTGGTGACAAAGATTTCAGGAGTAATAAAGCTTAGAGAAGAGTACAGAGTACTGAGGATTGAATGTTGAAGAATGTTACTAGTAGGGATGGGAGGAAGCAGTGAAATGAGTAAGGAATTCAGAGGAGAAAGAGAGATAGAGAGTCAGGACCCATTAGCGCTGTGCAAGTGAAGGAAGAAGTTGAAGTCAGGCAGAGTATCACTTACAGAATAAAACTAAGGGGAATAGCACTTAAGGAAATGTCATTGAACTAGAGAACTCTCTATAGGGAGAGGTTGGCTATATTTCTATGCAGTGATAGGGGCAGCACCCAATTTGCAGGTGGATTTGAAGTTGAGGCATTGAGGTATTTGAAAAGTAGGCAGTGAAAGGAAGGAGCAAATACAATAGTAACTTAAGGGGATATCAGGGTCAAATGAAGCTTTACTTGATGCTTTCCTTCCTCTAAGCATTAGTTTAACCCACTCCCTCTCCCTTGATTGTTCTTCTGTTCCCCAAAGTGGTCTCTTCATTCTTAGAGCTTTTGTGATGCTTTGGGGTACTATACTTTGTAGTTGTTACTTACCAAGGACTGCTTTGTATAGTTGATTGTCTTTGTCTCTACATGTGTCCTAATTCCCTAAGTTGATATATCTTCATATTCTTTGTAGTGACATAGTAAGCACTCAGTATATGGTTTGTGATGATTATTGACTAGTTTGTTAATGGGAGTCAGGCATAATCATGGATACTGTTCTTCCTAAAACTCTTGGTAGGAATTATGACTAAGTAAACTTTTGCTGAGATGCTGGTAAATATAGCCTGGTTAAAAGAAAAAAGTCTGAGGGAGATAAAAACTGAAAAATATTTGCTAATAATTTTTTAAACCAATTACTCTGTATATTATATAAAGGGGTGTGTTGTGTATGTGATATAACCCATATACAGAAACTGGGCCAATTGTAAATTCAGATGGAATCTCCTCAGATGCCGTTAGAATTTTAATTTGGAGCTTAGAACTGGTTACTTTAATAATGAAATCCTTTTATTGTATTCAAAACCCAGTTAATAAAAGATTCTGCTTTTGAAATAGAGGAAGTTTAAATTTCAGTTTTATTAGCTTAGCATTAAATTATTTAACTTAGTGGTTGCTAATCTGGGCTCATGAAAAGTTTGTTTTATAAATTGTATGTACATGCTCAAATCAGAATGTGAAATCGGGTATACATGTCTCCTAGGCAATGTTAAAAAGGATCTCAAGCATTTTCTTAGGACTAGCTAAGAATTTCTCACACTTTGTGTGTAGCACACATGTAAGAACTTACATAATAGCTTAGCTATAGGTTAACAAATTCCTTGCCTTTAAATAATCTGCATCTGCATTTATGATTTAACATCTATCTTCATATAAACTCATTCTTATGTCTCTACTTTCAGACTCTTATAATTAATGGAGCCAATCTGGCAGCTCAAGATTATCGTGGATGCACTCCTTTACACCTTGCTACAACACACGGACATTCTTTCACTTTACAAATAATGCTCCGAAGTGGAGTGGTGAGGGATTCTTGTTAATAAGTGAGAATGTATAATGATATGGACTATAGTCCATACAGTCCATATCATATGGACTAACATTTGGTAGTCTGGTTATCTCTTCCTGACTTTGTAAATCCCTTATGTGACTTTGAGGAAGTAATTTGATCTCTCTCTTTAGCTTTTCTATCTTTAAACATGGGAGCAATAATTTAGATAAATCATCAACAACAACAAAAGAAACAGCTTAGTGGTACAAAATATTTCAGAGGCTATGAATTCTTCATGTCAGTTCAGAGTTTAACAGGGAAGATTCTGAAGCTTCCAGACACATCTTAACCAGGGATTGTAAATCTTTCTGAATTGCTGTGTGTTTACCTGTTTCTTTGGTAACTCTTATTTCATACACTAATTTAGAAAGTGATTTATATCTCCAGAAATTTCATTTATTGTGATATTTATTTTTAATATTACCCAGTGGCTGTAAAAAATAACTTCTTATAAGAGTTAAATATTTTTTCATTAACTCTTTGGTTATGCTCCCAAGGATAAGATTTGATCATTTGAATCCATCTCTTTCATTTTATTGGTCAGGAACTTGTGACCAGTAAAATGACTAGTTAAATTCCTTTTTAGAAACGATTTTTATGTGGCTAGTTATGTTCTTTTTTAAAAGACTTTATAATTTCATTTGTATATTATTAGCTCATATGTTCAAATCAGTGGTTGCAGTAAATATTTCTATGATATTTAGTGTTTGCCTTATCATTTTAAGAACAGCCTCCAATTCTCATTTGCAGAATTAAGCTGCTAGACTTAGTGTTTCCCCTACAAAACATAAAAAAACTGAGTCCTTGTGAATGTTACCTCTAGGATCCCAGCGTGACTGATAAGAGAGAGTGGAAACCTGTGCATTATGCAGCTTTTCATGGGCGGCTTGGCTGTTTGCAACTTCTCATTAAATGGGGATGTAGCATAGAAGATGTGGACTACAATGGAAACCTTCCAGGTATTCGCAAAAGCAAATATTTTGTTTTTCTATTAATGTAAACTTTAACAATGTTTGATCATGTTTAAGAAATTTGAACTGTCATCATTCTAATATTTCCTAACAAAACTGAAGTAGTAAATATGTTGACATGAACATTTTTTATCTTATATTATGTCTATGTTATGTACCCATCATGTGACTGATTTTTTTTTCTGGAACCATATTAGCAAAAGAGAAATATCCAAAATTAAACTTGGATTTACTCTTCCCACCAGCTGTTTCCCTCATCTACTCTCTAGTGTTATTGTTTTTTAACTTCATACGTCTCTTCCCCACAGATTACTTAAAAAAGTAATAGTACAGATAGTGGACACTAGTGTATTTGAGTTAATTTGCTAATTGCAGTTGTCTAGCCTGCGGTCAACTAGCCAGCTGAGACCTATACTCTTAAGTACCGTGTCTTCTTCTAAGAGGTGCTGTAGAAGTTCAGAAGAGAGTTAGACCACAGTGAGATTGGTTACTGAAACAATACATGAACTATGTCTTAAAGGAATCTTAGGTAGCAAACAAATGAAGGGGAAGTCCAGGCAAAATAATCACTTTGATTATTAAAAACTCCCTAGATCCCAGTGGATCTCTGATTACTTAGCTTGGCATGCTGGGCCTTCATAATTTGGCTCTGACTTTCCTCCCTGCCCTCATCTTCCATCCCTTGACACTGCTATCTTGGATCATTTTGCTTCTTTCCGAAGGACATCCTTTAGTGTTCATTTAGTGAAGGTTTGTTGGTATGAACTCTCTCGATTTTTGTGTATCTGGAAGTAACTAAGTAGCTATTTTACTCTGTCTTTTTAAAAAAAATTTTATTTTTGACGTATAACATGCGTACAGAAAAACGCCCAATTCAAATGCACAGCTCACTAAATTTTCACAAGTGAACACTTCTCTGTGACCATCAGCTAAATCAAGAAACAGGGTAGTCTCCTTCGTGTCCTCTTTCTAGTTACTGCCAGCTTCCAAAGTTAATCAATACCTTGACTTCCAACATAAAAATTAGTATTGTTCTTTTTCTGAACTCCATGGAATAAAATAATACACTGGTGTCCTTTTGTGTGTGGCTTCTTTTGATTTTCCAAAGTGGTTGTTATCAATTTATACACCCACAGGCAGTGTTTAAGTCTTTCAGTTACTCCACTTTCTCATCAGCACTTGACACTGTCAGTTTTTTTAGTTTTAGTCATTCTTTTGAGTGTATAGTAGTATCTCATTGTGGTTTTAATTTGAATTTTCCCTGATGACTAGAGATGTAGAACATCATTTCATATGATTAATGGCTGGTTAGTTATTTTCTTCTGTGAAATACCAGTTTGAAGCTTCTGCCCTTTTTTTTTTTTTTTTTTTAAACTATACGCGGGCCTGTCACTGTTGTGGTCTCTCCTGCTGTGGAGCACAGGCTCCGGACGCGCAGGCTCAGCGGCCATGGCTCATGGGCCCAGCCGCTCCGCGGCATGTGGGATCTTCCCGGACCGGGGCACGAACCTGTGTCCCCTGCATCGGCAGGCAGACTCTCAACCACTACGCCGCAAGGGAAGCCCTGCATTTTTTTTTTTTAATTGAGTTGTTCCTCTTTTTTTCTAATTGAGTTGTAGGGGTTCTTTATATATTCTAACCACAAGCTTTTTGTCACTTACATGTGTTGCAAATATCTTTTCCATTTAAGTATCTTTTCCATTCTATTGTCTTGCCTTTTCATTCTTTTAAGGTATCTTTTGATGAATAGAAGTTTTCATTTTACTGTAGTCCAGTTTAATAAGCTCTTCCTTTATGGTTAGTACTTTCTGAATCCTGTGAAAAAAAAGTAAGAAAAGACTTTTTTTAACAGGATTCAGAAAGTCTTCATTTCATGAAGACACTCTTTTATATTATCTTCTAGGAATTTTATTATTTTACTTTCACATTTCCACCTGGAATTGACTTTTCTTCAATACAAGGTGGGGGGAATTTCATTTTTATTTAGTTCTTTATTGAATTTGCCTAATCACTTTGTTAGTCTCTTGTTGCCCGCTCATTGAAAAAAAAATCAACTTTTATTTCCTTAAACATGTATAATTATTTTATAACCATGTGTAGTATATTTTTTAATAGTATAAGGTAGAGGTTAAGAATGTGGCCTCAGGACTAGACTGCTTATATTCAGACCTCTCTGTTAAAAACCATTAATTCAAAATTTATTAAGCATCTGTGTGTCAGTCCCTAGGTGCTGGGGATATCACTGCAAATAAAACAGACAAAAGTCTCTGCCTTTGTGTGTGGTGAGGGGGGAGACAGACAATAATAAAAATGAATGAACAGAATATATATTTTATTAAATAAGGATATGTGTTTGGATTAAATAGCAAAGGGGAGTAGAGTGTTACAGGGGATGAAGGTTGAAATAGGGTAGTCAGGGAAGCCTTCACTGAAGAGGTGACATTTGGGTGAAGACTTGGAGTTGAGGGAGCAAGTCTTGATATCCTGGGGGAAGAACATTTTAGGAAGATGTAACAGCAATGGGTAAAGTTCCTGAGGCAGGGTTGTGCCTTGCGTATTTGAGTAACAGCAAGTCAGTGTGGTTGGAACAGAAGTGAGGGCGTAATAGATGATGAGGTCAGAGAGGTAACAAGAGCCATAGAAGGATTTTGAGCGTGGGAGTGACATGATCTATGTTTAAAACCATCATTTTGGCTATTGTGTTTATAATACTAGATTGTAGTGAGGGTGTGGGCGTGAGGGGTTAGGAGCTTGATGCAATAATTTAGGTTACTGTTTGGTTGGACTAGATAGTGAGAAGTAATTGGGGTCTCTGTATCTTTTACAGATAGAGCCAGTAAGATTTGCTGATTGATTAGATGTGGGGAGTGACAGAAATGGGAGTCAAGGATGGCTCCAGGGTTTTTGGCTTGACCTTCATGGAAAGGAGAGCATTTCCATTAACTGAGATGGGGAAAGCTGTGTAAGGAATATGTATGCAAAAAGGGTAAGGAGTTCAGTTTTTGACCTGTTAAGTTTGAAATGCCTATGATACATTTCATGTATATGATGAGTAAGCAGTTAGAGGAGTCTGAACTTTCAGAGGGAGTTTTTTGGTGGAAGGTTCAGCTGAGAAAGTGTACACTGGCATGTGCCAACTACTTATCTTGTGGACATTGTTACTTAATTGATTCTCCTGAGTTTTACTGGTGATTTAGGCACTGCCCTACTTCTCCAGAGCCAAGATTTGTATACAAATTGGAGTCTTTCCCAAATAGTCACTTCTCAAGAGGTGTAAAGGTTCTCTTGTTCTTTGTAATCATTGCCTCTAAGCTTGTAATACCCCAGAACCATTCCTGTTTTTTGCAGCTTTTGGGTTATGGCTGTCCCTCAATCTGATTCATTATATTGATATTTTCTTTCAGGGATTCCTTAACATTTCTTGTCTGTTCGTGGCGTTCTTATCTGTTTTTCTTGTCCTTTATGGCTTTAAAAAATATCTTTCTATTATTTTCAAGAATTTAAGAGAAGAAATGGTGAGATAGTGTGTGTGCTTAGTCTGCAGTTTTGATCTAGTCTTCTTGTTTATAATAAAAATAATGTTTATGAAAAAGTGACAAAATACATAGTGATAAAAATGACATCACCCCTATTTGCATAGTGACTATTTTGGTTTATTTCTTCTACTTTTTTCCAAAATATTAAGATAAATTTATCTATCTAGCACCTATATTACATAGAAGGCATTTTTTTCATATAATTATAAGCTGCACAGTTGGGATTTCACTTTCCAAGAAAATTTTCTGAGACCTGCTCTTTGGTGACCCTCACTTGGCCTCTCTACATTCACAGTAAGTGTAGCTATTCAACCATTTAATCTACTGCTGTGGCTTGACTAGAAGGCTGACTGAGTAAGGACATGTAAGCTGGAAAAATGGTCTGTTATCCTTGCATCCAGAGTACATCTCTGTTATATAGGATAGGGATAGTTGTCTCCCTAGGAGGATTAGAGTTAATGTGTTGTTTCTTTTTTCAAGATATTTTATTGTCAATTTAAAATTAAATGATTATTATGTTTTCTCTCACCTATAGTTCACTTAGCAGCCATGGAAGGACACCTTCACTGTTTTAAATTCCTACTCAGTAGAATGAGCAGTGCCTCCCAAGCTTTGAAAGCCTTCAATGATAATGGAGAAAATGTATTGGACCTAGCCCAGAGGTTCTTTAAGCAGAACATTTTACAGTTTATCCAGGGGGCTGAGTATGAAGGAAATGATCCAAAAGATCAAGAAAGTAAGTAATAAACCTGAAGTGTTTTAGCATTTAATAAGTAGAATAAATGGAGGAGGAAAAGAAAGGAGTTATAAGACATGTTATATTAAAATATGTTATGTATCATTGTCCACACATTCATCCAGATTCTCTTCTTTGTATGAAATATTTTAAGCAGAAATATAGAGAGATTAATGTAATATAATGAACACTTCTTTTTTTTTAACATCTTTATTGGAGTATAATTGCTTTACAATGGTGTGTTAGTTTATGCTTTATAACAAAGTGAATAAGCTATACATATACATATATCTCCATATCCCCTCCCTTTTGCGTCTCCCTCCCACCCTCCCTATCCCACCCCTCTAGGTGGACACAAAGCACCGAGCTAATCTTCCTGTGCTATGCGGCTGATTCCCACTAGCTATCTGTTTTACATTTGGTAGTGTATATATGTCCATGCCACTCTCTCACTTCATCCCAGCTTACCCTTACCCCTCCCCATGTCCTCAAGGCTGTTCTCTATGTCTGCGTCTTTATTCCTGTCCTGCCCCTAGATTATTCAGAACCATTTTTTTTTAGATTACATATATATATGTTAGCATACACTATTTGTTTTTCTCTTTCTGACTTACTACACTCTGTATGACAGTCTCTAGGTCCATCCACCTCACTACAAATAACTCAATTTCATTTCTTTTTATGGCTGAGTAATATTCCATTGTATATATGTGCCACATCTTCTTTATCCATTCATCTGTTGACGGGCACTTAGGTTGCTTCCATGTCCCGGCCATTGTAAATAGTGCTGCAATGAACATTGTGGTACATGGCACATTTTGAATTATGGTTTTCTCAGGGTAAATGCCCAGTAGTGGGATTGCTGGGTCATATGGTAGTTCTATTTTTAGTTTTTTAAGGAACCTCCATACTGTTCTCCATAGTGGCTGTATCAGTTTACATTCCCACCAACAGCGCAAGAGTGTTCCCTTTTCTCCACACCCTCTCCAGCATTTATTGTTTGTAGATTTGATTTGCATTTCTCTAATGATTAGTGATGTTGAGCATCCTTTCATGTGTTTGTTGGCAATCTGTATACCTTATTTGGAGAAATGTCTATTTAGGTCTTCTGCCCATTTTTGGATTGGGTTGTTTGGTTTTTTGATACTGAGCTGCATGAGCTGCTTATAAATTTTGGAGATTAATCTTTTGTCAGTTGCTTCATTTGAAAATATTTTCTCCCATTCTGAGGGCTGTCGTTCGTCTTGTTTATGGTTTCCTTTGCTGTGCAAAAGCTTTTAAGTTTCATTAGGTCCCATTTGTTTAGTTTTGTTTTTATTTCCATTTCTCTAGGAGGTGAGTCAAAAAGGATCTTGCTGTGATTTACATCATAGAGTATTCTGCCTGTGTTTTCCTCTAAGAGTTTTATAGTATCTGGCCTTATATTTAGGTCTTTAATCCATTTTGAGTTTATTTTTGTGTATGGTGTTAGGGAGTGTTCTAATATCATTCTTTTGCATGTAGCTGTTGAGTTTTCCCAGCACCACTTATTGAAGAGGCTGTCTTTTCTCCATTGTACATTATTGCCACCTTTATCAAAGATAAGGTGACCATATGTGCATGGGTTTATCTCTGGGCTTTCTGTCCTGTTCCACTGATACATATTTTTCTTTTTGTGTCAGTACCATGCTGTCTTGATTACTGTAGCTTTTTAGTATAGTCTGAAGTCCGGGAGCCTGATTCCTTCAGCTCCATTTTTCTTTCTCAAGACTGCTTTGGCTCTTTGGGGTCTTTTGTGTTTCAATACAAATTGTGAGATTTTTTGTTCTAGTTCTGTGAAAAATGCCATTGGTAGTTTGATAGGGATTGCATTGAATCTGTAGATTGCTTTGGGTAGTATAGTCATTTGACAATGTTGATTCTTCCAATCCAAGAACATGGTATATCTCTCCATCTGTTTGTGTAATCTTTAATTTCTTTCATCATTGCCTTATAGTTTTCAGCATACAGGTCTTTTATCTCATTAGGTAGGTTTATTCCTAGGTATTTCATTCTTTTTATTGTAGTGGTAAATGGGATTGTTTCCTTAATTTCTCTTTCAGATTTTTTGTCATTAGTGTATAGGAATGCAAGAGATTTCTGTGCTTTAATTTTTTATCCTACTACTGTACCAAATTCATTGATTAGCTCTAGTAGTTTTCTGGTAGCATCTTTAGGATTCTCTATGTATAGTATCATGTCATCTGCAAACAGTGGCAGTTTTACTTCTTTTCCGATTTGGATTCCTTTTATTTCTTTTTCTTCTCTGATTGCTGTGGCTAAAACTTCCAAAACTTGGTTGAATAGTAGTGGTGAGAGTGGGCAACCTTTTCTTCTTCCTGATCTTAGTGGAAATGGTTTCAGTTTTTCACCATTGAGGATGATGTTGGCTGTGGGTTTGTCATATATGGCCTTTATTATGTTGAGGTAAGTTCTGTCTGTGCCTACTTTCTGGAGGGTTTTTATCATAAATGGGTGTTGAATTTTGTCAAAAGCTTTCTATGCGTCTACTGAGATGATCATATGGTTTATATCCTTCAGTTTGTTAATATGGTGTATCACATTGATTGATTTGCGTATATTGAAGAATCCTGGCATTCCTTTTATTTTTGTTTTTATCTCCATTACTCTAGGAGATGGGTCAAGAAGGATCTTGCTGTGATTTATGTCATAGAGTGTTCTGCCTATGTTTTCCTCTAAGAGTTTGATAGTTTCTGGCCTTACATTTAGGTCTTTAATCCATTTTGAGCTTATTTTTGTGTATGGTGTTAGGGAGTGATCTAATCTCATACTTTTACATGTACCTGTCCAGTTTTCCCAGCACCACTTATTGAAGGGGCTGTCCTTTCTCCACTGTATATTCCTGCCACCTTTATCAAAGATAAGGTGACCATATGTGCATGGGTTTATCTCTGGGCTTTCTATCCTATTCCATTGATCTATCTTTCTGTTTTTGTGCCAGTACCATACTGTCTTGATTACTGTAGCTTTGTAGTATAGTCTGAAGTCAGGCAGCCTGATTCCTCCAGCTCCATTTTTTGTTCTCAAGATTGCTTTGGCTATTCGGGGTCTTTTGTGTTTCCATACAAATTGTGAAATTTTTTGTTCTAGTTCTGTGAAAAATGCCAGTGGTAGTTTGATAGGGATTGCATTGAATCTATAGATTGCTTTGGGAAGTAGAGTCATTTTCACAATGTTGATTCTTCCAATCCAAGAACATGGTATATCTCTCCATCTGTTTGTATCATCTTTAATTTCTTTCATCAGTGTCTTATAATTTTCTGCATACAGGTCTTTTGTCTCCTTAGGTAGGTTTATTCCTAGATATTTTATTCTTTTTGTTGCAATGGTAAATGGGAGTGTTTTCTTGATTTCACTTTCAGATTTTTCATCGTTAGTATATAGGAATGCCAGAGATTTCTGTGCATTAATTTTGTATCCTGCTACTTTACCAAATTCATTGATTAGCTCTAGTAGTTTTCTGGTAGCATCTTTAGGATTCTCTATGTATAGTATCATGTCATCTGCAAACAGTGACAGCTTTACTTCTTCTTTTCCGATTTGGATTCCTTTTATTTCTTTTTCTTCTCTGATTGCTGTGGCTAAAACTTCCAAAACTTGGTTGAATAGTAGTGGTGAGAGTGGGCAACCTTTTCTTCTTCCTGATCTTAGTGGAAATGGTTTCAGTTTTTCACCATTGAGGATGATGTTGGCTGTGGGTTTGTCATATATGGCCTTTATTATGTTGAGGTAAGTTCTGTCTGTGCCTACTTTCTGGAGGGTTTTTATCATAAATGGGTGTTGAATTTTGTCAAAAGCTTTCTCTGCATCTATTGAGATGATCATATGGTTTTTCTCCTTCAGTTTGTTAATATGGTTTATCACAGGGATTGATTTGTGTATGTTGAAGAATCCTTGCATTCCTGGGGTAAACCCCACTTGATCATGGTGTATAATCCTTTTAATGTGCTGTTGGATTCTGTTGGCTAGTATTTTGTTGAGGATTTTTCCATCTATGTTCATCAGTGATACTGGCCTGTAGTTTTCTTTCTTTGTGACATCTTTGTCTGGTTTTGGTATGAGGGTGATGGTGGTCTCGTAGAATGAGTTTGGGAGTGTACCTCCCTCTGGTATATTTTGGAAGAGTTTGATAAGGATAGGTGTTAGCTCTTCTCTAAATGTTTGATAGAATGTTCCTGTGAAGCCATCTGGTCCTGGGCTTTTGTTTGTTGGGAGATTTTTTTTTTTTTTTTCCGGTACACAGGCCTCTCACTGATGTGGCCTCTACCATTGCAGAGCACAGGCTCCGGATGTGCAGGCTCAGCAGCCATGGCTCACGGGCCCAGCCACTCCACGGCATGTGGGATCTTCCCGGACCGGGGCACGAACCCATGTCCCCTGCATCAGCAGGCGGACTCTGAACCACTGCGCCATCAGGGAAGCCCTGTTGGAAGATTTTTTTTATCAGAGTTTCGATTTTAGTGCTTATGATTGGTCTGTTTATGTTTTCTATTTCTTCCTGGTTCAGTGTCAGAGGGTTTTGCTTTTCTTAGAATTTGTCCATTTCTTCCAGGTTGTCGATCTTATTGGCATATAGTTGCTTGTAGTAATCTCTCATGGTCCTTTGTATTTCTGCAGTGTCAGTTGTTATTTCTCCTTTTTCATTTCTAAGTATATTGATTTGAGTCTTCTCCCTCCCTTTTTTTCTTTATGAGTCTGGCTAATGGTTTATCTATTTTGTTTATCTTCTCTAAGAACCAGCTTTTAATTTTATTGATCTTTGCTATCGTTTCCTTCATTTCTTTTTCATTTATTTCTGATCTGATCTTTATGATTTCTTTCCTTCTGCTAACTGTGGGGTTTTTTGGTTCTTCTTTCTCTAATTGCTTTAGGTGTAAGGTTAGGTTGTTTATTTGAGATTTTTCTTGTTTCTTGAGGTAGGATTGTATTGCATAAACTTCCCTCTTAGAACTGCTTTTGCT